TGAAACCCTGTCTCTATAAAAATAGAAAAATTCATGGTGGGCAGCTGTAGTCCCAGCTACTAGAAGACTAAGGCAGGAGGATTGCTTGAACCCAGAAGTTTGAGGTTGCTGCCAGCAAGACCCCAGGAGTCTTGCTAATGTTGAGTAATGAGAGAAATTCAAGTCAATAAATATTGGTGGTGTGAGCCTGCAGGGGCCTGATAATAGCTAGGGGAAGAAGGGAGCCAGGCAGAACTGGGGCTCCCTGTCGGCCACAGCCCCAGAGAGAACATGGCAGAGCATGGCTGTGTTCCTTCCACCACTGGAGTCTGAGCTCAGCTTTAGATTTGCAAGCAAACATGATTTTATTTGGGAGGCACCGGGAAGGTGTACATTGCCCTCTCTGCTGACCATATCCCATCGTAAGAAAATCAGAGCTGTGAGGTTTGTTCCGTGGAAAACTGTAAATGCTCCTCAGAGCAATGGGTGCTAAGAGAGAAGGGTGAGGTGATGAGCCTGGGTGAGAACTGGCTTCTTGTCCCGCATCCATGATTACTAACTTTCAAGGACTTTAGTTCCGAAAGCTTTTCCCAGGCCAGTCTGCAGGTGGATTGTAAGGAGCTCCAGCCATGATGGGAACCCATTGGTGGAATCTAAACTGTGACCCAACACGCATAGCTGGCTACCTGCAGAGAGAAAAATGAAAGAAAGATTAGAGGATCAATGAGATTATGCTCGCAAAGCAGGTTGTGCTTCGCCAGGAAAGGTATTATTTATGGAATTAATAATAAACGCGGCTCTTTTTTTTTTTTTTTTTTTTTTTTTGTGGTAGGATGTTGCAATCTGCTGTGAGAACCTTTTTCAAATTGCCTGCGTGTAATTTTGGTTTCAGGCAAGAGGCAATGAGCAGGGTGGTGCTTTGTAGGCGAGGAGAGGGGACATCTGGGTTTCTCAGGCACAGACTTGCTAAAGATCTCCCGCAAGGATCATGCCTCGGCTGCCGGGAACTTTAGGATTCCGACTCCAGGGGCTGGGTGAGCAGCAGACTGCTAAATCTCGCCAGCTGTATTTTGGTTGTTCTGTGCGGCAAATGTTTCCTAGAAACGAAACAAATCCTTTTCCTCCCCCTGCATTTGAGATATACGTACAGATACGTTTCCTCCTGCCCATCGATCATAGAGCAAATGTTCTGCCTCAGGGAAGTTTCTAGATGAGTTCCATCTCTGTTCTGTGACCCAGGAGACCAAGTGTTCTCATCAACTGAACCTGGATGAAATGTGTCTCGTGGAGAATTTCAGGAAATTAAAAGTTGAATGGAAAAACTAGACTTTGGTAAAAAAAGAGTTTCCTCCCTCCCCATCTCTGGGTGGAACAGAGATGGCCACGGCTCATTTAGAAGATGGAGTGGGGGGCCAGGTGTGATGGCTCACACCTATAATCCCAGCACTTTGAGCGGCAGGCAGAAGAGAATCGCTTGAGCTGGAGAGTTGGAAACCAGCCTGAGCAACACAGTGGGACGTGCTTCTATAAAAATAAAAAGAACAAGAACAAGCTGGGTGTTGTACCTCACACCTTTAGTCCCAGCTATGGGGGAGGCCGAGGCAGGAGGATCACTCAAGCCCAGGAATTTGAGGTTATAGTAAGCTAGGATGATGTCATTGCACTCTAGCCTGGATGACAGAGAGACACGCAGTCTCCGAAAACAAAAAAACAAAACAAACACACAAAAGTCAAACACACAACAGCAAAAAAGATTGGGGGATTGTCAAAAGGGTGCCTGGCATGACCTTATACCTAAAATGTAGTGTTTTGCTTGTTTTTTTTTATGAAACTTACACACACACACAGATTAACTTATCACACGAGCTGCCAGCACACTGTGGTGGCAGGACTTCTAGCTAAAGGTCACTATTAGTCCCCTGCCACTCAATACTGAGAGTCTCCATCTTCTCGGTACTGAAACTGGCACGTCACCACTGCCTTCTTTCAGAGGCTGTGGACGTGGAAGTCCCCTGAGAGGGACGCAGCCACGTGCCGCTGGGCGGTGCTTCCTGGGTTGCAAAATCACCAGTGCTTGACAGATCACAGCAAGCAGGTTTCCCCAGGAGTCTGTGACCATCCAGCCCTGCCGGGGGAGGAAGCTGCACGCAGCAGCCCAGGTCTTCCCGCATCCTGTCTGACCAGCAGAGGCCTCTCTCGGACCGTATTTAAGATGCAATATTTGTAAGCACTGAAGTGAAATGCTAATTTACTTCTGGCGGTACCCCCCTTAACCAGGTTTGTGAGTTCCGACTCATTCTTTTCACCCTCCTCCTTTTTTATGTATCTCTGGCCAGGTAAAAGCAGGATCTAAGAAATTTCAGCAGCAGAT